CTGCACCATAACTTGTCCTAAAACTGAAATCTAAATGTCCGACAGTAAGAACGGCTGACAGTTATACATTGCTCACTATATGCAGGTAGGCTGCTCAGTTTCCCCGACAGGGTAGGAGTGGGGGGCTCAATGACATGACTCAAAAAGCCCGTTATCCTCATCTTTACCCAAAAAGAAAACTGGACAGAGGGAGCCCACAGCTGGCAAGGATCAAGAGTAGGGCATGAGCCACATCTGTTCAATACACTACCAGACAGACATTAAAAATCAAGCCAAAGGAGGGGCGCATGGGTGGTTCAGTTGGTTGAGTGTCCAACTCTTGGTTTCAGCTCAGGTCCTGATCTCAGGGTCATAGGATCCACCCTGTGTCGGGCTCCGCACTCAGCAGCGAGTCTGCTTGAGACTCTCTCTCCCCCTCTGCACCTCCCTCCCTCCCTCTCTCTCTCAAATAATTAAATCTTTGAAAAAAAAAAAGAAAAAAAAATCAAGTCAAAGGAGACTATTCCCTTTTTGCTAAATAAAAAAGATGGCTTATCACAACATTTTGTACAACATGATACCACTTTTTTAAGGAGAAAGAACGTTCTGCCCCAACACACCCACAGAACCAAACACCCACAAGCAGACACAAAATATTTACTGTGACCATGTCTCGATAATAGAATTATGTCCAGAATTTTTTTCTCACTTTGTATTTTTCTAAGTTTCTACATTTAGTGTGTATTGTTTTAAATTTTCTCAAAAAATTCCCTTCAAAAAAGTGGGAAATTTGTCAAGCAAGGATAAATACTATATTCCTTCTCCCTCAGGAGGCTGCTGTGGATTGTTCCAATGACCTGGTCCACCTGGATGGACCCAGTCAGGGCTACTGTTGAAAGAGATCTGCGGCAGACATTACCCCAGTCCCTGACTGAAGGCCGATAGGGCACACCATGATTCTAAGCAGACCTGGCTCAGCACGGGTTGGCGAAACCCGAATCTGGGCTCCAGTGAGCTGCAGACTGGAGACACAGTTTCTCATCAGATAGTTACAGGTCCCAGGAGGCTAGAGCTTCCAAACAGGAAAAGTAAAAATAGTTTGATGGAGGCTTTCTGAACCAGAAACCTGGACTCAGATCTGCCTCTGTCTCCCCTTCTTTTGCCCAAGTCAGGTCTCATTTCCCAACACCCAAACCAGCCTCTTCAGTCACCCCACCCTGGGCAGCATCAGATCGACCCTCTTAGAATGACTCCTGCTCAAGATTTTCCATGGCTCCTGGTGGGGATCTTAATACAAATGAAGTCTTCCGGGTCAGATCTCCAGGAATTCAGACTCAGCGGTTCTGGAGCGGGGCCCAGAAATCTGCATTTTAATCAGTGAGTCTAGTACTCTCTAGTAGATACCCCTTAAAATACAAAGGCTGGGGGAACAAGCTTCTCCTGCTCCTTGACCTCTCTAGTCCCTGCATCCCAAAAGCAGCCTCTACTGGGGACAGTAACTCTGGGGAGACACAACCCCTGGATTCTTGCCTCAGTCAGAAACGGGTCTGATCATAAATAACCTCAGCTCACTGAAATGGTAAACCCAACTTGATTGGAATGCTAAACACAATTCATTACAATGTATAAAGCTGTTTTCTTACTAAGTATCCTGTCACGCTCCAGGTAAGTTTTAGAATTGAAAATAAAGGTAGTAAAATAAATCAAAATTACTGATGTTCCTGACCTAAGTTTAGTAATAGTCAGCATATACTTGCTATTTAAAAGTATCTATAACATTGACGGGGCGCCTGGGTGGCTCAGTCGTTAAGCGTCTGCCTTCGGCTTAGGTCATGATCCCAGGGTCCTGGAATCAAGCCCCACAACGGGCTCCCTGCTCAGCGGGAAGCCTGCTTCTCCCTCTCCCATTCCCCCTGCTTGTGTTCCCTCTCTCACTTGTCTCTGTCAAATAAACAAATAAAATCTTTAAAAAAAAAAAAGTATAACACTGAAAAGATTTTGACATGTTGAGTATGACAGATAAGTATTGTGATTCCAATTTAAAATACAGAAATTAGGAATTGAGAAATATATTGGGGGCACCTGGTTGGCTCAGTTGGTAGAGCGTGCAACTCGATCTTGATCAGCGTGCAACTGTAGAGATTACCGCATGGAGCACTGGGTGTTATACGAAAACAATGAATTGTGGATCACTACATCAAAAACTAATGATGTATTGTATGGTGACTAACATAACATAATAAAATAAAATTTAAAAAAATAGAGATTACGTAATACAGAAGTTAGGGGTGCCTGGCTGGCTCAGTCCGTAGAGCATGAGACTCTTGATCTGGGGGTCGTGAGTTCACACCCCACACTGGGCATAACATAGAGCTTACTTTAAAAAAAAGATACAGGGCGCCTGGGTGGCTCAGTTGGTTAAGCGACTGCCTTCGGCTCAGGTCATGATCCTGGAGTCCCGGGATCGAGTCCCGCATCGGGCTCCCTGCTAAGCAGGAAGTCTGCTTCTCCCTCTGACCCTCCCTCCTCTCATGTGCTCTCTCTCTCTCTCAAATAAATAAATAAAATCTTAAAAAAAAAAAAAGATACAGAAGTTCTAATATAGGTAGGGAGACACCTGGGTGGCTCAGTTGGTTAAGTGTCTGACTTCCGCTCAGGTCATGATATCAGGATCCTGGGATTGAGCCCCCACGGGCTCCGCACTCAGCGGGGAGTCTGTTTGTCCTTTTCCCTCCCCCTTTGCCCCCTCCCTGCTTGTGCTCTCTGTCTCTCTCTCAAATAAATATATAAAATCTTAAAAAAAAAGATGTTTAATATATATATAGTTAGGTAATTGATAAAACATGTCACTAATTGATACTAGAATTATCATTTCAAGTTGAAAGGTCAGCAATGATTAGGAACACTGGCTGCATGTTAGAATCATCTGGAGTGCTGTGAAAGCTACTAATGGTGCCCCCCATAGCCTAATTTCATGTCAGAGATGGCATCTGTATTTTTTTTTAGCTTTCCAGACTGAGAACCAGTGACATAAAAGAATTTAACTAAGTCTCTTAAAAGTATTGAACTGTTTACGAGAACTTGAAATTCATTATGTTTGTAAGTTTAATTTATTAGATTTTCTAGTAATGTTTAAATATTCTTGGGAGAATATACTTGCTAGGTTATGTATCTGAAGTACTCAAAGAGAAAATCAAATATATGAAATTTATAAGCGAAATAAATGTGTAAGGGAATGTAATTAAGCTGTAAATGGGGCTGACTGTTTAAAGGAATCTAAGGTTAGTTCAACTTGAGGTCTAACATCAAAGGAAAAGTGAAGGTCATTTTTCTTATTTTTCTAGATTTATATGTATAATTTCTAAGTTGAAGTAAGCAGCTTAAAGAAAATTCAGTATTTCCAAATTGTTCCTCCAAAATTAAAATTAGCTAAAAAAACAAAATAAAATAAAACAAGCCACACCTTAACTCCCTGTGGTCTTTCTTAAACCATCTTACTTAACTAATTCCTCCCTCCTCTGAACTTCCCATCAGCCAGATTTGTTGTTAGCAAGACAAAAGTATTCTATCCTAGAAGCTTCACAACTTTGTGTCCCAAGGAGCTATCAGGATTCTTTGCAAATAGAAAATAACTGCAGTTATGGTTAACTCATCATGGTTTTAGAGCTTAGAGCTTTTCACACTTTTCTTCCCCATCCCCAATCAGGAATTCCTTTTGCTTTTCCAAGTCAGATCCAGGCCTCTAATCCCAGGTTTTCAGTACCTATGCCAATGACTTATCTCTGGCCCAGACCTCTCCTCTAAACTCCAGATCCAAATCCCCACTGGCCTCCGGGCATCTCCGCTTGATGTCTAAGGGGCAGCTCAAACCTAACATGACCAAACAGAGCTTAAGGTCATCCCTGTGGATTTCAAGTAATTAAGGTAAAAACTTAAGAGATGTCATTCTCCATTCTTTTTTCTGGCACCCTCTACACGCATCTGTCACCTTGTTCTGTCTGTCCTACCTCCCAAAATCGCAAATCTGATCACTACTCTAATCCATACCCTAATCTAAATTATCATCCTGTCTCAATTGACCCAACACAATAACTTCCCCTCTTCCATCTGTTCTCCGGAGAGCAGCCAGAATGATGACATTAAAATATGAATTGGATCATGTCACATCCCAGCTTATAACCCTTCAGTGGCTTCCTAGAGCAGTTAAAAAGAAGATTCCTTACTATGGGTTACAAGGCCACATATGAGCTGACCCAAGCCCACCTCTTCACAGTCCGCCCCATCGCTTTCCCTCAAGCACTCCAGGACTGCTGCAGCCTCAAGTCCGTCGCACCAACCTTATCCTGTTTGACCGACTTCCATTCGTTCGGGTCTCTGGTTAAAGTGTCTCCCTAGACACCCTGGTTAAAATAGCACCGCCAGACTCTCCTCAATCAACCTGTCTTTTGCTTTTTAGAGTATTACTTGTTTGTGGTTACCACACCTCCCCGATCTGCCCACACATTGAATGAGCGTTCCATGACAGCAGGGACTTGTTCACCACTAGGTCCCCAGGGCATGGCCCAGAGGCGGCACTAAGAAACTATCAGTTGAATGGCACTAATACACCAAAGCCCCTATTTCTATCCCCAAGAAGGGATGAGTGGTCCCCAGATCTCCCCCTTCTAGGTCAGGGTTCCAGGGGGCGAAGCCCAGGGATGAGGGGAACAGGAAGCATGTACAGAACCGCCCCTTCCCCCGGACACTGGGTAAAGGGGTTCAAGCCTCAGGGCCCAGCCCTAGGGCCCAACTTTGCCACAGGCTCCAACTCTAGGCCTGGACTTGGGGCTAAAAGAGGAGACAGGCAGAGATGAGCCAGGGACCTGGGCGCCCAGGCCCTCTCACCCTTTTATTCACTCCCCGTTCCGTTAAGTTGGTGCGGCCCACAGAGCCGGTAAGGGACTTAGAAAGGTAAGCCCACATCTTCCCCTTGGGAAAAGACGACTAAGACTAGCCCCTCGACGTCCTGCCAAAGAGGGTACCTGGTTCCGCAGGGCCCGACGGCTCCGAGCTCCTCCTCCTTCGGCGCCCTCGTGTCGCGAACTGTTTGCTGGGATTCGTAGTCCTTCCTTGAATATCAGTCTGTCCTTCCCAGAAACCTTTGGGAATCATAGCTGAGACCGCGCGGGGGTTGGGGGAGGTAAAGGGAGCGCGAGGGCTTCTGGGTGTTGTAGTTCAGGATATTCACTCAGCGAGAAATTATTGAGAAACATTGGGTAACAAATCTTACCACACTATTTGGGCCGTCCTGATCTAAATCCTACGAGACTGTTCCTCCCCGCAAATCCATCACTTAACCTCTGTCGTTCAAAACGATAAGTGCTGAGATTCAGAAAAACTACAAATCCCATAAAGTATAGCACGTCGAGGGCTTTTGGAGCGCATGATCGGCCGCGGCGCAGGCGCGGGCTTGATAGCGGAGAAACATGGCTGCCCCAACGTTTACTGCGAGGTTGTATTCGCTGCTGTTCCGCAGGACCTCCACCTTCGCCCTCACCATCGCCGTGGGAGCCTTGTTCTTCGAGCGCGCCTTCGATCAAGGCGCGGACGCAATCTACGAACACATCAACCAGGGGGTGAGGGACTGGGCCATCCCTGACCTTGGGCCGGCCTGAGGGGTGACAGTGGGAGTGGAGGTGGGGTGGGACTCAGTCTGCCTTTACTAAGATAGAGGGGAAAACCCTGAGGGTCTTCTGTCGGTCGACTGCCGTATGTCCTCTTCGCTGAATGTGAATCCCAAAACATTAAATGATCCCACTTTGTGGGGCTTATAAGTATTGCTGTCTCACACCCCACATACCCACTTGTCCATTTGCAGGAGCAAAACCTAAAGGCTCGTGAGAGCAAAGGACTTACTGGGGCTACACCATCAGGAAGTCAGTGGCGAGTCTGAGTTGCAACCCGGACCCACAGTCTCCTCTCTGAGGGTTTCAAGGGCAGATTTGAGCGGGCGAGGGTCGTGAAAAGGACATCTCCTTAGATACTGTGGTTGGTCTTTTCAGATAGCACTCTTCACTTTCCCAGGCTTCCCACGTAGGCATTGTGGTAGTAATAATTGGAGATGGGAATATAAAATCAGAGAGCCCTGGATGGGGATACTGGACCTTGTCACTTAATAACTGTGGCGTTCAGTTGGGCGAGTTTCTTAACCTCTCTGAGCTTCACTTTTATCTGTGATGTAGAGCTGATAGTAACTACAGTAGGCAATTACTGTGAGGATTATATGAGGATACAGGCAGGTGCCACAGTACCTGGTAGATGGTACACTCAAAAAATAACATTTGTTACATTCCTCAGGAGAAAGTGAAAGCAGAAGGTAGGGAATAACCACACCTTTTAGACTCATTGTGTGCCAACACTGTGCTAGTTGCTGTACACGCTTTTCATCATTACGCTGTGGCTCATGCTAGGGAAGGTCTCCTGCAGATAGGCCTGTTACACCATTCACTTGTGTTTTTAATTTGAAGCTGCCTGTCCCTATGAAAGTGTTGCCCCTGTTCCATCTCCTGCAGGCAGTTCTGCGGGCCATTCCCAATGTGTGGAAAAAGCATTTAAGTATGCTGTCATAATTTACCAATCTGTGCTTTCAGGAATGAGAATCAAGGGCATCTGGCTGGCTCAGTTGGTATAGTGCACAGCACCCAATCTCGGAGTTGTAATTTCAAGCCCCATGTTGGGTGTAGCGATTACTTAAAAAAATAAAATCTTAAAAAAAAAAAAAAGGAATGAGAATCCAACTAGTTCCTGACCCAAGGATCATAGGTTTAATGAGATTAAAAAATGATTCAATGTGAAGTATTTGGGGCTATGCATTTAGGACCTCTTGAGTAATACCTGGGAGTTGAAGATACAAGACCTCTTCGAGGCTCTGTTCCTTAATAATTGTGTACGTTTGTGTAATTATCTCAGTCTGTCTACCTCAGTTTCCTGTAAAAGAAAGATCATCCATCCATTTCCACTTACCTTTACATGGCAATTGATAACATCAAAGCAGTTTACAAGTGTTAGGAATGTGCGGCAAACCTAGTGTTGCTTCCAGTTTGCCCACCCCAGCTGGTAGATGTTTCTCTCAAGCTTGTTTTAGAGACCAGGACAGTGGAGGTAGCTGCAAAATACGAGATACAAAGCTAAAAGTTTGTGGTTCTTGTCTTTAAAATGCAGAAGCTGTGGAAACACATCAAGCACAAGTATGAGAATAAGGAGTAGTTCCTGGAGACCCCTACCCACGTGGAAAGGACCAGGTCCACCCACCAGCTGTTTGCCCAAAACCAGGGCCTCAGCCCGAAGATGATGCTCAGATTGCTCTTCATCGACCACCTTTAGCTGTTGGCAAGAAGCGGCTTCACCTGACAGACTCTTTAACTTCAGCTGTGTTTGAACTATGTTTAGTCAGAGTCATCAGCAAATAAATGTAAATTGTCCTTGAGACACGGCTTCTGCATCCAGTGCTTTGTTAACTCTACCTAATCTTCACTTGTTGGTTGAGACCACTTCAGAGACTTCTGCAAAACTCTGAAGGGCAGAGTCCATTATTTTGTGTTCCCCTTTAACTTCCAGAGAACTTGGGTTTACAAAACATGAGCTATAATTGGAGGTGTTACTTTGACTTTTGCTTCTAAATCAGTAATTCCTGTCTTTTTTTTTTTTTCCCCCCAGCGTAACCTCTACATCCAATGTGGGGCTTAAACTCAGGGTCCTGAGATATCAAGAATTACATGCAGGGATGCCTGGGTGGTTCAGTCAGTTTCATGTCTGCCTTCGGCTCCGGTCGTGGTCCCAGGGTCCTGGGATCAAGTCTTGCATTGGGCTCCTTGCTCAGCAGGGAGCCTGCTTCTTCCTCTGCCTGCAGCTCCCCCTGCTTGTGCTCATGCGCTCGCTCTCTCTGGCTCTCTGACAAATAAATAATATCTTAAGAAAAAGAGTTGCATGCATAGGGTGCCTGGCTGGTTCAGTCAGTAGAACATGCAATTTTTTTTTTTTTAAGATTTTATTTATTTGACAGCAAGAGAGGGAACACAAGCAGGGGGAGTGGGAGAGGGAGAAGCAGGCTTCCCACTGAGTAGAGAGCCCAATGCAGGGCTCGATCCCAGGACCCTGGGATCATGACCCAAGCCAAAGGCAGACGCTTAACAACTGAGCCACCCAGGTGCCCCTGAACGTACAGTTCTTGATCTCAGGGTTGAGTTTGAGCCCCACATTGGGTGTAGAGATTACTTAAAAATAAAACTTACGGGGTGCCTGGGTGGGTCAGTCGTTAAGTGTCTGCCTTCGGTTCGGGTCATGGTCCCGGGGTCCTGGGATCAAGCCCTGCATTGGGCTCCCTGCTCAGCGGGAAGCCTGCTTCTCCTCCCACTCCCCCTGCTTGTGTTCCCTCTCTCGCTGTGTCTCTCTCTGTCAAATAAATAAAATCTTCAAAAATAATTATAAAATTAAAGATGAAAAAAGTCACATGTTCTACTGACTGAGTCAGCCAGGGGCCCCAATAATTCCATTTTTCCATACAGAGGAGAGCTAACTGGCTTAACCATAGGGAAGTCCTGGATTCAGCTGGGGGAAAAAACCCTGCCCCAGGGTCCCATCTCCATTCTGCCTTTAATTTGCTGAGTGTCTGGACCAGTTGGCATACCTCTCTGGGCCACAGCCCATCTTATGATGAAGTTGGACCAGAATTCTGACCATCCTGCCAGAGTTCCTCTCTCTAATAAGTTTGGTTTATCATTGTGCTTACTTGGTGGGTTTGAATCCTCCCTCTACTAGTTCTAGCTGTGTGAACCAAGAGCAAGGCACTTGACCTCTCTGAGCTTCAGTTTCCTGGTCTGTTACATGGGGATAATGAGAGCACCTTCTGTGTGGGTTCTTTGTGAGTATTAAAGGAGTTGTGAAATGCAGTTAACAGTCATAGACCCTGGCACAGGGACATAACTGCTGGCAGAAACACGGGGGGATGCTTAAGGACCTGGAGAACCAGAAGATTCTCCCGCAGGCTATGGAGCAGCAGGAATGTGAGGAAGAGGGGTTCAAGGAACATAGCCCAGTCATTCATTCAACAAACATTTGGGTGGCCACTGTGTGTGAGGCACGTGCTAGGTGCTAGTAGGCATGTGGTAGAAAACATGAGGCCTGAACTCCACAGGAGATATTGTAAATACCATTCTATATCAAAGATACATGGACATTAAGGAGGGCATGTGATGTAATGAGCCCTGGGTATTCTATGAGACTGATGAATCACAGACGTGTACCTCTGAAACCAATAATACATTATATGTTAATTAATTGAATTAAAATAATTTAAATTAAAAATAAAAAGATATATGGGTCCCGTGCACTATAGGAAAGCATGTGTGAACCATTTTCCTGAAGGATACTTTGCACCTATGTATTAAAATCTTTAATGTGCAGGGCGCCTGGGTGGCTCAGTTGGTTGAGCGACTGCCTTCAGCTCAGGTCATGATCCTGGAGTCCCAGGATCGAGTCCCACATCGGGCTCCCTGCTCAGCGGGGAGTCTGCTTCTCCCTCTGACCCTCCCCCCTCTCATGTGCTCTCTCTCTCTCACTCTCTCTCATAAATAAAATCTTTAAAAAAAAAATAATGTGCCTTTGACCCAAGAAATCCCACTTCTGGCAAATTTTCCTTGTCCACAAGAGATGTTCATCGTGGTGTTTTTTATAATGGGAAAAATGAAAATAAGATATCCAAAATAGGAATTAATATTGTGAAATATGCAGTCATTTAAAAACTTGTTTTGACTGGAAGAAAATACCCAACAAATATGGCAAAGTACCAACCTCACGAATACATGAAGCAGTCTTCCAAATCAATAAGAAAAAGGTGAATAACTTGGAAGCTACGGCTAATGACAGAAATAGGCAGTTAGTACAAGAAATACAAATGACTACAAATATGAAAAGATACCCAGTTTCATTAATAAACAAGATGGATACTATTTTGTCTACCAGATCAATGAAAATGAAAAAGATTAGCAAGGGAATTTCCATATCTGTGTGTTCCCCCTATGTATGTATGCACACTATTAAATTTGGTTTTCTCTGGGCACCTGGCTGGCTCAGGTGAAAGAGTGTGGAACTCTCGATCTTGTGGTCGTGAGTTTGAGCCCCATGTTGAGTGTAGAGATTACTTAAATAAATCAAATTTGTAAATAAATAAATAAATAAATAAATAATTTGGTTTTCTCATGTTTAAAAAAAAAGATTAGCAACATTAGATTTTTGTAAAGGAGCAAGTACCACACATGGCCATTGGAACAATGGTTTTACAGAATACTTTGGTATTATCTATTTTAAATGTTTATTCCTTTCAAAAATTCTTTGTGTGTGCATGTATTAAAATACACATAGGGGCGCCTGGGTGGCTCAGTCGGTTAAGCGACTGCCTTTGGCTCAGGACGTGATCCCAGGGTCCTGGGATTGGGTCCCACGTTGGGCTCCTGCTTGGTGGGGAGCCTGCTTCTCCTGCTCCGCCTCCTTGTGTGCGCTTTCTCCCTCTCTCTCTCTGTCAAATAAATAAATAAAATCTTTTAAAAAAATACACATAGGGCGCCTGGGTGGCTCAGTTGGTTAAGCGACTGCCTTTGGCTCAGGTCATGATCCTGGAGTCCCGGGATCGAGTCCCACATCGGGCTCCCTGCTCAGTGGAGAGTCTGCTTCTCCCTCTGACCCTCTTCCCTCTCATGCTCTCTATCGCTCATTCTCTCTCTCTCAAATAAATAAATAAAATAAATAAGTAAAATAAAAATAAAAAAATACACATAACAGGGGTGCCTGGGTGGCTCAGTCAGTTAAGCGTCCGACACTTGATTTTGGCTTGGGTCATGATCTCAGGGTTGTGGGACTGAGCCCCAAAACTGGCTCTGTGCTCAGCATGGAACCTGCTTGGGGTTCTCTCTCCCTCTCTGCTCCTCCCCTGCCCCTCCTCGTGCCTGCGCTCTCTCAAACAAAAACAAACAAACAAAAAACCACATAACTAAATTTACCATCTTAACCATTTTTAGGTGTACACTTCAGTGGTATTAAATATAATCATATCAGGTGCAGCCATCACCACTATCCATCCCCATCTTGTAAAACAAACTCTGTACCTATTAAATAGCTCTCCAGTCTCCCCTTCCCCAGCCCCTGGCAACCGCCATTATAATTTCAGGGTCCTGGGATCAAGCCCCCACATCAGGCTCCCTGCTCAGCGGGGAGTCTGATACTCCCTCTGCCCCCTCCCCCCTGTTCATGCTCTCTCTCTCTCTCAAATAAAAAATAAAAATAAAAGAAGAAGAAGAAAATGACCTCCAATAGGGAAGTGACTAACTAAAGAGGTAGATTCCTAGCACAGACATCTATGTGGACATTAAGAAGACTGTGGTGACTCAGTGTTAGGGGTAAAGAAAGATGAAATGGAAAAAAAGCAAGCTGCAAAATTTGTGTGTTTAATCTTATCCCATTTATATAAATTGATACACGTCGATTTGTGTACACACAGAATACTGAGGGATGTGCACTAAACATTTCATGGCCACTATCTCTGAGGGGTGGGATTTCAAAGAACTTCCACTTTGTGCAACAGATATTGCCTTTTTCTCTTACAACAAGCAGATATTGATATTCTAATAAAAAATTTTCTAAAAGAGGGCACCTGGGTGGCTCAGTTGGTTAAGCAACTGCCTTCGGCTCAGGTCATGATCCTGGAGTCCCGGGATCGAGTCCCACATCGGGCTCCCTGCTCAGCGGGAAGTCGGCTTCTCCCTCTGACCCTCTTCCCTCTCGTGCTCTCTCTCATGCTCTCTCCCTCAAATAAATAAATAAAATCTTTAAAAAAAATTTCTAAAAGAGAAAGCAAGTAAGGGGCGCCTGCGTGGCTTAGTTGGTGAAGCAGCCAACTCCGGATTTCTGCTCAGGTCATGATCTCAGGGTGGTGAGATGGAGTCCTGCATTAGGCTCCGCACTCAGCGGGGAGTCGGAGCCTGTTTGAGATTCTCTCCCTCTCCTTCTGCCCCTCCCTCTGCTCGTGTGCACACTCATTCTCTCTCTCTAAAATAAATAAATCTTTTATTTTGTTAAAGATTTTATTTATGTATTTGAAGAGAGAGAGCATGCGCACAAGCAGGGGGAGCGGGAGAGGGGGAAGCAGGCTCCCCGCCTGAGTTGAAGGCAGACACTCAACTGATTGAGCCACCCAGGTGCTCCATAAATAAATCTTTTAAAGGAAAAAAAAAAAAAAGAACGTAAAAAATGGTTAGGAAGAATGCTCATATACAACAGTCAAAATATAAAGCTAAGTGAAAAAAACAAGCCATAAATTCATATAAAACACGATGCATTTTTTTGGTAAACATGTATAAGACAAAAATTGGAAATGCTCATAACAAATTGTTAATAGTGTTAACTCTGGGAGAGTTATTTTCTGTTGTATTTCTCTCTGATGTCTAAATTTTCTGCATCAAGAATGTATTATTCTTACAATGGGGGAGGAATAAATTAAAAGGGGGCTGCCCAGAGAGGGTGTGAACACAGAGAAATGCAAGATGTGAGCCCCCAGCTCTGGCTCCAGGCCTAGAGCCCAGCAGCTTGGAGGCCCAGGGTTCCCCTTCCTGAGCTCCCAATGAGGATTTGTCCTTGCGTGGCACTGGCAACTGGGAGCTGGGCCTCCCCAGAGCTCTGGGTGGGTGTGCCTCACAGGTGGGGGAAATGAGGATTAGCACCCTCCTCAGACTGGCACCAAGAAGCTGTTTATTACTGGAAAAAGTTTCCTTCCCAAGCTCAGCCTGAGGTATTTCCTGGAGTCAAGAGCTGGGACAGTCTTTACGGTTAGAAAGCCCCAAGGACTCCCGACCTGCTCCCCTTGCACAAGTGTCAGGAAAAGCTAAATGCTTGGAAACCTCACCAAGCAAGTTACTGAAGGCCTCTGAAATCCTCTTCTGAGAAGTTGGCATCCAGTATAGCTCTGCTCTGACCAAGCAGGACCACTCTCTTGGCTACGTGTATTTGAGAGAATGTCCTATTCTCCCAGCTTCTCTCTTGTTTTCCAAAATCTCTCCAAACTGGTAGAAACTATTCAGTCAGTCAGTCCGTCAGTCAACCAAAACATGTTTATTGAGTGCCTACTCTGCCTGGCCCTGTTCTAGACCCTGGACACATAGTGGAGACCAAGGAAGATCCCTACCCTCTTGTAGCTTGCATTCTAGTAGGGGAGGCAGATGGTAAACAAGAAATTAAATAAAAACTTCAGCTCACGTTAAGGCAATGAATAAAATAAAACTGGGTAACATACAGGCGGTGATTCAGGTTTAAAGAGCAGTGTGAGATGCTCAGGTAGGTAGTCAAGGAACATTTCTCTATGGAGATGGCATTTGAGCTGAGATTTGAATGGAAATCTCAGCCAGGTAAAGATCAAGAGGAAAGGTATTTCAAGAAACAAGAACAGCGAGAGCAAACGCCCTGAGGTGGGTGTGGGTTTGGTTTATTCATGGAACTGTAGGAAGTGAGGCAGTAATAGATAGGGTCAGATACTGTGTGGTCTTGTAGGTCATGCTGAAAGAGTTGGGATTCCGTTCTAAAAAGAAAGGTAAGCCTCTGGAGGGTTCCTGATGAATAGCTTACATTTATCAACCAGTTACCATGAGCCAGGCATTGTACTAAGTGCTTTGCAGTTTATGTGTCATTTTATTTGAACAATGATCCAAGAGGTCGTTTTATTATTCCCACTGAATAGCTCTAGTGAGGTGTAAAGAGCACTGATTTTAGAATGGACAGTCCTGGGTTAGAATTCCAGCCCCACCACTCACTGGCTGTGTGAATTTAGACAAGTTACTTACTGTCCCTGAGCCAGTGTCCTCATCTGTAAAATACTCACCATGATATTGCACAATGGCAGCTATGATTCTTGTTATTTCTGGAGATGTCATCTTGGAGGGGTGTCAAGGAGAGTAAGGGTTACCGTGCAGTAAATCCTCACCCAGATGACTGCTTAATTAACCCAGCCAGGGGCTATCCAGGCTGGCACTCTAGGGCTGCCTGCCAAGGTTCAAAACTTTTCAGCTCTGGGTGGAGTCCAAGTTGGCCTGGCAGCTCAAAGAAGAAAGGCCCAGCCCTTGGAACATTCTAGGCTTTTCCCCAGTAGACACAAGGATACTGCCTATCACAGGCTGGGTTCCCCAGGAAGCAGACTCTGGGCTGGGGGTTAGTGTGCAGGAAGTTTATTTCTCAGGTCCATTTAACTTTTTAAAAAAATAGTTATTTATTTAACAGAGAGAGGGAGGGCACAAGCAGGGGGAGTAGGAGAGGGAGAAGCAGGCTTCCCACTGAGCAGGGAGCCCAATGCAGGGCTCGATCCCAGGACCCCGGGATCATGACCTGAGCCGAAGGCAGATGCCTAACCGACTGAGCCACCCAGGTGCCCCCATTTAATTTTTTTAAATTATTTTTTTTATTTGTAGCTGACACGCAGTGTTACATTAGTTTCACGTATACAACACAGTGATTTGACAAGTTTATATCTTACGCTCTGCTCCCCACAAGTGTAGCTACCATCTGTCACCATACAATGCTATTATAATACCATTGACTCTATTCCTTACGCTGTGCCTTTTATTCCCATGACTTAACTCATTTCATAACTGGAAGCCTGTATCTCCCACTCCTCTTCACCCATTTTGCCCATCTCCCCACCCTCTCATCTATTTTATACCTGCATCTACTCCTTGAGGTTCTGCAAGAACAGATTTGCAAAATAAAAATAGCTAGAGTGTTACCGCTTTTATAATAGCAGGGGGGAAGCGATGTAAGTTATTAAACAGAAATAGATTCCATCCCGTAACTCAGGCTGCTCTTCCAATAACAAGGAACAAGGACTGTCCTACATGTGAATTTGAAGTCTTGGGAGGAACGGACAAAAATCAATGAATTTAAAATGAGCAAAGTGCAAAGTTGGAGGGAATACAAATTCGGCAGGCAAAATGGAGGTTAGGGTAATTGCTTCAGTGTGAATGAAGGACAAACATTGTAAAAGGGGCAGGGACTAGCCCACGAAGAGGATCACACCCACACACACCCACATGCACACACACGCACACACACACACGCGCACACACACACGCACACACACACGCACACCCAGGGCCAGGCCTGGTCCTGGTACTATTACCATATCCTATGTCACTAGATCCTCAACCCGCGGTGGGCCCACTCTCTACCCCATTTTACAGGTGGAAAATGAGGTTCAGAGAGGTTAAGTATCTTGCCCAGGGTAACACAGCTAGAGAAAGTAGAGCAGAAGTTCAAATACAGGACAGTTGGCTCCAGAGGCTGTGCTTATAACCACAGCTCTGTGCTGTGTAAAAATCATTTCTCTCTCTTCACTGGGGCCTTGGCCTGATATGCTTGGATTTATACACAGATTGAATGCCAAGGGCAGACTCCAGCCGGCATCAAGGACAAGGCAGTGATGGAATGTAGAGAAAGTGTCAGCTGGGAGCCACTTAGCCGACAGTCTAAGTACAGGGGTACTGACTGCCTTCATATGCTGCTCCCGACCTATTCTCCCTTCAAAACTCCTACACAGAAAACTTCCTCAGCTGCTCTGGACACTTCTTCTCCACTGCACCCTCATAAGACTGCCGGATCAACTCCCTTTCTCAAACACCTTCAATGGCTCCCCACTACTGGTAAGATCAAGTTCAAACTCCTTAACCTGCCATTTAAGATCCAAGCTACCTCAAATCTCACTTTACAAACCTCCCAAATACGGTCCTTGCTGTGGGTCCCTTTGCTCTCCCGTCTTGTGTCTTGGCATGGATTATGGAAATAGCATATGCCTGGGTTTGAATTCTAGTTCTGCTACTCTCTGGCCAGGTGACCTTGGGCAGGTTGCATCCTCTCCTTGAGCCTCAGTTTCTTCCTGTGGAAAATGGGATAATGATAGCAATACCTCACAGGGTGGTTGGGAAGCTATGTGAAATAATGCTTATAATGTTGTTAGCACTCGCCTACTAGTGGTGGTTTTGTTATGTTGCTACCATGAGTACATTAAGGCGGGGGGGGGGGGCTCCCTGCACAGTCTTCAGGGAACAGTGCCTAATTAGCATATTCGATCCACAAAATGTGGGCTGAGAGCTTTGGGGATGACTGTACAGCTGAATCCTCCAAGTGCCCCACCCCTTGTCCCAGCTGTTTTTGAAACCGTGTTCCTGATATCCTTTCTTTCCAAGGCCTGATCACTTTCTCGTGCTCCCCTGTGTGTCCCGTGATAATCTCGTTTTCAGTGTCTCTAACACTGGTTTGAATTCCAGCCGACTCGTGCATTCCTCCGGTGGTCCTTATCTCTTCCCTACACCTTTAACCATGTAACGGACTCCACTCCGCTTTCGTCTATCTTCCTCCTTTCCAGATGTCTGAGCACACTTCTGTTTCCCTCCTGTACAGGCCTCCAACAGAGAGGCTACTTGCCGCCCTGAGGCTGCAAGTCTGTGTGATGTCTTATCTCCTCGGTTCACTAACCTTTCCTAATGAAACACCTCCTTCAAACTGGACCTTCTAAGGGGTAGCCCTTCCTTCCATTAGCAGACAGGGAAAACTACGGCAAAGTGGAGATCTGGGAAAATAGATCCTGCCCAACTTCTCACTCTCATCTCTGTCAATGGAATGACTGGATTATAAATTGTATTAATAGAAGCATGGTGTTTAAAACAAAGGAGGTGATAGGTCCTCTCTTCCATGCTGAGCCAACCACGCATGGAATAAGCGTCAAGCTATAGGGAGACAGGAAAGTCAAGAGGCTGAAAGTACGGACTTTGGAGGCTGGTAAACCTGGGTTTGAACCTTGACGCAGCCACTGCTCAACCATGAGCGAGGGGCCGAACCTCTGAATGAGGCTTATATAATCACACCTACCAGCTGGCTTTGTTTCAAGGATTCAGTGAGGTAATTTGCTGTCCCACAAAGCTAAGCAGGCTACCTCCTCTGTGCTCCCAGGGCACCCATCACACACTTACCAGGCTGGATTGTGCCAGTCTTCTTCTCTTGCCAGCTCTTGTGTGTCCGGATCATCCTGAGCCCAGAGGTTTCCGGGAGGACTGCTGTACGGGAGTCACGGCAGCCGTGCTGAGAGGCTGAGAAGTGGGGTGCACAGAAATCTGCCTGGGGCATTGGTGGGAGGCACCCGCCACCCTTCTCCTGGGTCCCCCTGAGCAGGGCCCTGTGAGTTCACTAGCCTGCCTCACAGTGGGCCAGCACCAGCACTGCACACCTTATCCCAGCCATCCCGCCAACATCTCAATGGAGAGACAACTGTGGCTCAGAGAACCTCGCTCAGAGTCGCAGAGCCAGAGAGTGGCTGAGGCCAGCTTGGTTCTAACGCCAGAGCTCAGCCCCTGCTCTAAATGGCAAAAGCCAAATAAGCTGCTGGCCCTTCAGAGGACCCTGATCCCCAAGGAAAAAGCCTGGCATGGCCATTGCATGTTATTCTGTGTTAATAGTCTGGGGGAGGGACCAATGCCGTTCTGTGTAGACCTCTCCTGAATGGGGGGGGGGGTCTGATTTTCAAGCTGTGACAGGCCACACACACTGCTCTGGAGGGTCACGGAGTGGGTCTGTTGCCCCTCTGACATGATACAGTCCAGCTGGACCCAGGGCTGCGATCTGCCCATTGGATCTGTCATGTGGCATCTGGTCGGCCTGTCATAGGAAAGGGGCAACCGTCTCACCAGCCAGAGGGGTCCCAGTGTGACAGGTCCCAGGCTCCCCTCGAGGCAGGGGCCTCGAGGGGAGGCTGCTTCATGACAGAACTTGCTCGCGGAGCCAAAAGCTTAGGAGTTCAGGCCATTGCCTGATTCTGTCCTTCTGGAGAGAACTGTCAGCAAAAATCCAGACAGAGGCAGCTCTCAAACTTTTCCTGGCCCTGGGACCCCAGCATTCCACTGGAAATGTGCCTGTTGGAAACGGGTGATTTGTGCAAAGAAGTTTCTGGCAGGGTGATTAACAGAGAGAAGTGGAAACTGCCCCAAATGCAGAGTGGCCAGAAAACTCCCATTAGTTTTCTTCTCTCCCCTTTGAACAAGATTCACCAATTTCAGAGTGCCCTTGGTCCCCACCCAGCATGATCTCAGCTGACCCTCACAATTACCCATGCCCGTGAGGCAAGAGAGGTGAGAGAATGATCATCCCCATTTCCTAGAAGAAATTGAGGCCCAGAGAGGCCAAGGAACTTACCCTAGGTCACACAGCTTGTTGAAATCTAAGAGCCTAGACCCTAGGCTCCTGACCGTCAGTCCAGTGCTCTTCTCACCACCCTTTATGAACAAAATAACAATAAAAACGAAGGGATCTTGAGGCCTGCAAATGTGCACGTGAAAGAACATAGAGTAAGCAGGCTAGACCACAGGATGGGAGATGGGGGCTGGAGCCTGTGTGTAAGCTCTGCACGTAAAATCCTAAATGGACAGGCATGGTTGGCCCTCATCCCACTGAAGGGCCCCCTTTCAGCCTGGCTCTTTTGTGAAAACCACTTTAAGAAAAGGAAAACCATAATTACCCCCTTGGGATGGCAGAGCACTTAAGGGATCCGTCAGAGTGCTGAGGGTGGGCTCGTGCAGCCAGAAAAAGCATATTTAGTGTCATAATTTCATAGTTGGGAAACTAAAATTAAGTGCCTGTTGTTCTTGTAATTCAGACCACAGCGAGTAAAGCTCGATGATATAACCTCCCTGGCTGGGAGAGCGCCATGGAAGCCCAGCGAATTCTTAGGCAGGGCAAACCTCCCCCACTCCCAGGGGAGGTGGGGTTCGCTGAAATCCCAGGGTCTGAGATTAGGGGGAGGGTTGGGGGTTTAAATAGGTTGAGAAACTCTGGACAAAATGACCTTTAAGGCTCTCCGAGGTCTGCCAGCTACGTAAAATTCTCTTGGTGATTATCGATTGTTGGGAGAGAATTTCCAGTGTGAAGTCAGAATTTGATTCTCATTTTAAGACACACATACCACCCCAACCCAACCCCACCCCCCGGGGCATTGGTTACCTTGCTTCAGGCTGCAGAATTGCAACACCAGCCTCTGGCCATAGTCAAGTTCCCTTCCTCCTGCCCCAGCACAGAGACCTAGCTAGGACTGCACATCAGGCTGACCTGGGGAGCTCCTCCTGGGGACTAGTCTTCCCCCAAATGGATCTTCTAGAGCCCTGGTGCCTCCCCTGCTCTTTCTAGGCATCCCATCAACATGGTCTGGATTCCAAGGCTCCCTCCTCACCTCTCAGCTCCCTCTTCCTCCTCTCTGATGACAACTTCCTCAGAAGGGGGCCCACTCTCCTACCTTCTCTCCCTCACCTTCCATTCTTTCCACATCTCCCCATCACTTCTTGGCAAGGTGGGGCAGAGCCCCAGGGAGCCGCACTGACTTCGCTAGGTTAACCTCCCAGCTGCTGCCTGACACTGCAACCACTACCCTCTGCTTCTTCTTTTTTTTAAGCTGTTATTTATTTATTTAATTGAGAGAGACAGAGAGCGAGAGGTAGTGGGGGGGGTGCAGGGGGAGAGGGAGAAGCAGTCTCCCCGCTGAGCAGAGAGCCCGATGTGGGGCTCGATGCCAGGACCCTGGGATCATGACCTGAGCCGAAGGCAGACGCATAACCGACTGAGCCGCCCAGGCGCCCCACTACCCTCTGCTTCTGGAAAGTCTCTTTGCTCTTGGCTTCTTTCTGTTCACTTCACCTGCTCATTTCTCCATTCATTTATTAGGGCTTAGTACAACCGTGACTAGATCACTTTCCCAAAATATCTTAATATCCACATCCCACCTTGGATTGTGAACTCCATGAGGGCGGAGCGGGGACAATCTTTTTCACACATGCCTGACGCAGTGCCTGGCACCTAGTAGATCTTGGTAAATGTGCGCTGAGTGCACGCATTTAGCCTCTCCTGCCTTGGTCCTCCCGACCAGGCTGACCGTCCATGCCCCAGGCCCTGAGGGCTGGCAGTGAATACTGGGAGCTGCTGCTCGGGACAAACGTCTGGGCCATGGCCTGGCCTGTGGTCCTAAATCTGGGACTCCCATTTTCTCTCCCACCCTTCTTCCATAGTCTCCCTGGACCCTTTGGCCCCCTCCCAGGCCTCCGTGCTCCTCAGGCTCTGCTGCCCCCATCTCAGCTGAGAGCTCTACTGCCAGCCTTTTCTCTGCTTCCCCTGGACCGGAACTGGACGTAAAAATGAAGAATCATTCAGTGGGCTTCATGGCAGACTGGACACACAGAGGAAAGGACAAATGAATCTGAAAAAAAGGTGAAATAAAACAGGGCATCTGTGGGGCGCCTGGGTGGCTCCGTCGTTAGGCCTCTGCCTTCGGCTCAGGTCAGGATCCCAGGGTCCTGGGATCGAGCCCCGCGTCGGGCCCCCTGCTCCGCGGGAAGCCTGCTTCTCCCTCTCCCGCTCCCCCTGCTTGTGCTCCCTCTCTCGCTGTGTCTCTGTCAAATCAATAAATAAAATCTTTAAAACAAAGAAAAAACAACACAGGGCATCTGAGATCTGTGGGACGATACCCCACTGGTGCAACACATACAAGTGGGGTCCCATCAACCGGGTCTGATGAACTGGGATTTCCCATCCTCCTGTCCTATAGCTATTGGGCTTATATTTTCCTCTTTCTTTGTTAAGAACAGTAGTGACAAGGATGCGGATGTGGGGGGAAAAAGGAATGGCATGTGGTGTAGGGGCTAAGAGCGTGGGCTTTAGGAGACAATCCCGGGACTGAAGCCCTCCTTGGTCATGTGGTATATGTGTGACCTTAAACAGGTCACCTACCCTCTCTGACCTTGGTTTTCTCATCTGTACCTACCTGGTCAGAGTTAGACAAGATAACCCAAGAACCCAGCAGAAACTCTGGCCATGGTAAGTACTCGGTAAGCGCTTTTATTCTCATTACAAATATCACGGTCTTACTGTCATTTTCGTTTTTGCACATTTCTTTCCAGACTTGGTCTGTACGCAAATTTTTCAAAAATATTTTCACAATCATGGAGCATTACCATCCAATTTATTCTCTTAAAAAATTACAAGAACAACAAACCGATTCTTCAATATTTCATTTCTCACATTGCTACCAAGTGTTCATTGACATCATTTTAAAGAAGGGGGCTCCACAACCACCCCCTGCATTTTTGGTGGGTTGACTTTTGTTTGTGGTTTTGTTGGTCTCCCTCCCTGTATTATTTAGCCCAAGCTCCCGGTGTGCCAGGGACAGGCAGTTTCCTGCCAATCGCTACTTTTCCAGAGTGCACCTGGAGCTAAGAAAGGACCTGCGTCCAGGCTCTGCTGCTAACTTGCCTCCCTGGGCTCCCGGGTTCCTTTTTATCCATGACAGGCTCTGCTCTGCCCTCCCTACCTCACAGAGGCACAGTAGCACTCTTCAGACAGACCCGTCTGCCATCATTGCCACTCGTGAGCTAGAAACAATGACACTCAAAGTCCTAAGTCCTCTTGGAGGCACTGGGTCCTAAAAGCTTCCCGGGAAATGCCTGTGATAGTCGTGTTCTCTAATAGGGTGCAGAGAAGGCACTTAGAAATTCCTGCTTAGGAGCAGTGGTGGGGTGGTGGGGCCCAGTGATTAAGTGAGCAGGGTTCAGGGCTCCCACCCCACTTCACTTGCAACATTTCTGCCATTGCCCATCTTAAACCTTGGGGCCTCCTTGGAGGATTTAATTGGCACCAGGTGGAAACCATTCACCTGGCCCAACGTACCCACTCTGCAGATGGGAAAACTGAGGCCCTGAGAGGTGAAGGTTAAGCACTGCTCTGGATGACTCCTGAGTGAGGTGTTTGCAAACATCCCTGAAGGGGTGCCCTCAAGATCTGAAATGAGGAAGAACATAGTTCCTCAAGGGAGATCAAGTTTGACCTGGCAGTACATTCTGGAAAGTTTGAAAAATCGCTTGTCTTCTCCAATCCTTTTAAACTGGAATGCCAAGGTGAGGCCTGAACACTGCTCCCAGTGGTCAGGAGGTACGTATGACAGAATGAAGGTGAGAGGGGCTGTGTGAACAGTAACAGGTAAGGTAGGTAAAGGCCAGAGCTCCCCTAACTCACCTCACCTTGCTCCAGGGCCAAGAGCTGGGTCTGAGGAGCTCAGGGAGAGAGAAAAGAAATGACCCTCGCCTGTCCGGTTCCTGGCAAATGCCTCAAGGAGGAAAGAGTCTTCCTGCTGCCTGTCAGAGTGGCTGACCCTGAGCCTGATCTCAGCTAATTCAGCAGCTCGAGGAGAAGACACCACTCTCCTATCTGCTCTGCATCTCAAAGGTACCAAGAGAACTGGCGTGACTCAGAGGAATTGCTATTGATTTTCACTTGTGTGGCTGACCTAACAAAACGAATTTGTCAAGGGCCTGTCTGCCTCACTGCTCCAGACACTCATCCTAACCACATGCAAATAAATTACACAAGCATCTAGGGTGATTTGTCAAGGTCCAGCTGGGCAGGGGCCCTGGCTCCCGCGGATGGCCTCCAGGCCAGGCTTGGGCAGGATCAGGCCAGCAAATACCCTACAGTCGATCCTCTGTTGATCAGCAACATTCTCGGGGGCCCAGGAATCAGGCTGCCTGGCAGCTGCTGCCACACCGTGAACCAACCAGCCATGCCCAGAAAGGGGTTTTGAGGAACTAGGCCCAAGACCTCCAACGGGGCTTGGCAGGGACATCCTCACTGGTGTCTTCTGGTCTCCGACTCCTTGACTCTGGAGGATCTGATGGAGCGTACACACAAACCAGGAGGCACCGAGCTCTGGTACTGGCTCTGCTACGGGACAAGTGTCTTCAGGTCAGCTAGGAGATGGCAATGACACCACCGTCTAGGATGCTATAAAGGCCAAGGGTCAGACTGAGGGTCAAATCCTTGTTCTCCCACTTCCTGCCTGGTGCCTGGGCAGGCACCTCCAGCTCTCAGTGACTCACCTACACCACAGGGCCCGAAATACTCCCTACCTCCTAGGGTGGAGGTTGGAGGGACTGAACGAAAACACGGAAAGGACCGGAGGGCCTCACAACCTCATCTCTTCCTTCTACAAGCAGGGACTAGAGGTTCAGAGGAGGGAGTAATGTGCTCAGGGCCACACAGCAAAGCAGGGCAACATCAGGAGGGGTTAGAACGAGAGGCAAGCACGCAAGGCTGATGAGCACAGCAGGTGATCATCCTGCTCTCTCGCTCTCCCGATGGTGGCTGTCACTGAAGAATGGGGTACAGGGGGAGCAGGCCAGGGGCACATCATGGATCATTGCTTGAAAGGGTCAAAAACTTTATTTGCAGGCCTTTTCTGTTTTTGTTTTGGAATTTACAGGTTTCCTGCCGTCCAGGAAGGAAACCACCAAGAGAAGTGGTGTCTTGCTGCATGAGGTTTGTGGGGCTTGCCTTGGGGCTCCGTCCCCCATCCCTTTTGCCTGCTAGCTGGCCCCAGGGGTTCCTCCACTGTGTGATAAGGCACTGTGTGTTCGCAAGAAGGCGCTCACGGCTGGCTGGTGGACGACGAGGCGGCCTTCTCAGGGGCTGCGAAGCTGAGGCTGTTGAGGGGTGGAGTCGAACTTGGGGCCCTGGCAGGAGGCCAAGTGGGGAGGAGACCCAAGGCTATGGTAACTCAGCCTGGCAGTTCTGGTGCCGCTGCCTCCCGGCTGGCCCTGACAAGGTGGCCTCAGGATGGAATCATGCCTTTGCTTCTTTTGCGGTCAGCCATGGTTCTCCGGTTGTGGTTGGCTCGCGTCGCCTTGTTGGCTTCCTTCTTCCTGCGTTCCTGGGCTGTCTCACGGCTCTGCCCGTGGCCCCGGGGGCTGCCGGCCACTGCTGTCGAGCTGTCATGCCGGTACCTGAGGGAGGAACAAGCCACCCCAGGGGATGGGAAGAGCACTGCCTTTCTCAGAGGTCCTGGGGAGAGGACACATGGCTCGGGCCCAGGACACCCCTGTCCCCACTTCCGGTGGGAGAAGAAATGGAGCCCAGCAAGGGCAGGGCTCTGGGGGCTCTGGCTGGTCCTGTGTCTGGTGAACTCTCTTCTCTGAGCCCTGCCTCCAGATGGGTCCGTGGCCTAGCTGTGGGAAGAACCAGCTGTGGGCTGACCACAGCCCACAACAAGGAGAGGAGAGCCTGGGGACAGGAATGGGCCTATTTCTTCCTCTGTAAAATGAGGATGATGATAAAGTGGCTACTTCATAGCGCTGTCATGAGGATTAAATTACATGTAACGCATGTAATTCACTTGGGGTTTATGTATGGCTTCCTACGTGGTTGGCTGAGCCTTCCCCAGATGGGTCCCCTCCCACCAGACACAGCTCTTTAAAATGCTCACCCCTTCCTGGTGAGGAAGGCCATCCGCCTGGCTTCTGCCTTCTCCCGCAGCACTGCAGGGTCCTGCACAAAATGGTCGGGCTGTGGAGGGGAGGGGAAGGAAAAAAAAAATCTAGAGTCACGAGCAGGCCCATTTGCCCAAGCTGTGGTGAGGCTGTGCCTGACTGAGTCTTGTTGATGCCTCCAGGCCAGGAGTGGGGGAAAGCCACAGTGTGGCAGGGTGATGCCTTAGAATGGAGCCGCCCTTGCTTGGGTCCAAGGTTTCCATTAGAAGCCTCTCTTCTCCTTTAGAAGCAGCTAAAGGGACTAAGGCTTCCTGCACAGGCATGGTGGGGCAGGTGGACCATGGTTGGAGCACTGGTGACAAATGGGGGACAGGTCAGAATGGCCACCATGAGAGGCCACACAGGGCCTTGAAGGCCAAGAGAGCTGCCCTGGGAGCTGCCTCGTCCACACTCTAGTGCCACCACCGATGTGCTCTGGGAGTAGCCACTCTTGAAGACCGTTTTTTGGCCAATAAGCAAAGGAGACTGGACTAGTAGTGGGGAGAACTGTGCCTTAAGGATCACACACAGGCTTTAGTGGCCTGCACTGTTTAAAAAAACACAAAACAAGTGTAACCGGTAACTTTTTTGAAATTTGAAAACTGGAAGATGTTATAGAAAAATCTGGGCTGATCCCTTGCCTGGGTAGAAGAGAAAGCCCTGGAAGCTCTGGGCCTACGTTTCTGCTGAGAAACCCCTCAGGCAGGGTGTATGTGTGCTTCTACCCCACTAGCCATGGTCTCCATCAGTCTCTGCTACCCCTCTACATCGGGAGCCTGGCCTGGACACATTCCACTTGTGACCTTGGTGGGAGGGCACGAGGGGCTCCAGGAGTCGCAGGATGCCACTCCATTCAACCTGAGCAACAGCGCCCTTATCTGTTTTATATGTTGAGGTTCTAGTTGAGGTTTCATTTGAAGAAAAAGTTCAGCTGCCAA